TTTTTTTAAGGAAAGTCAATCTGATTTGCAGCAGGGATGTGTAGAGGAGCATATGGGATATGGACTGCGGGCAGTGTTAGTGGCACACAAGGGCTGCTCATTTTAGGGCACCTAAACCCAGATTTACTCACCTGGAACAAGAGGGAGAGCTATCAGCAACCTGAATTACATATTAAAACTACTGAGGCCAAGCTGATCACAAACAGCAGTATTGTAAAGTGAAACTATCCAAACATATTGACACTGTGTAGAAAAAAAATATACAAAAAAACAGGCAGGAAAAATATTTCCTAATATTATCTGTCCAGAACCTCTGAGTTATTAATCTAATTTAGCAAATATTTCAAGCTGTTTACAAAATCTAGCAGCAGCTACCAAAAACACAGAAAAAATATATTAATTTTTTATAAAACTCCTTAAATTATAAAGCTTTTAGTTCCTTGTCATTGAAAGTTATTCTTCACCTCATTATAATGTGCATATTTCAGCATTTAACATCATTAGAATAACAAATGCTGTTTTTAAGAAGGTAAGAGACTAAAGGATGGTACTTAAAACATAATTCAAACTATTACATTACACATATCACCATGAATCTACAAATATGTTCAGTTTTATTAAGAAAAAAAATTCTTGCATGCTTCCTTCATACTGTCAAATTACTTATCTCTTGGACAAATGAATGAAATAAAAAAAGCAGCGTGAAATTTCTTATCATAGAAGCAAACTGATTCTGTGCCCCACAAATCAGTGCTAGCCATTTATTTCAGATGTTTAATGTTTGACCAGCACTAATGATTTGCCACCAGTCTTTCAACTAAGTGATGAAGTCAAGAATGCCAAGACCTCCAGAAGATATGCTGTGACACCCACAGAAAATGTTTTGTTCTCCTGACTAAAAAGTTACTGTAATACCACAGAAATTGCAGAAATTGCATCTTGTCTCTTTCAGGACAGAAAGAGCTCTTTAAGATCTTTACTACTCAGAATTAATCAAAGCTAAACAGCCATCCTAGTGATAATCCCCTTTAGTGCTTCACAGTTTATGCAATAGTCAATTACTAAAGAGGATGAAAGACAGAACAATCTTTGCAAATAGGTCACTGTCTATATTTATAATGATTAAAACCAACCTGCTGCTAAAAGTAACTTTTAATAAGCATAAATAGTAACATTTACACAGAGCCATGTATTTACTCTTAATATGTTCTATGTCTCCTGTGACAAAAGAGGAGGTAATATGCATCAGAAACATAGTTATTTCCCATAGGTTACTCATTAGCATTGCCAAAAGCAGATTTTAATTTCTGTCTGTAATTCCAAAGTATCATCCTCAAAGGTATCACCTAAACATTCTTGACATGATCTCTGAACTTATCCAGCTCTCTCCCTGTCTGCACACCTTCTCTCTCAAAACATGATAGGAAAGCAAGCATTGCCCAGGGTGCTTTCTAAAGACCACTTTTAATGTCTTCTTTTGCCTCAGCTTTTCCTGCCTGTTTAGGCATGCCTGAATGTGGTGTTTTGTTTTTTTTTTTATTTCAGAACAATTACCCAGGTCTCTGCTTCTACTGCATACTGCTCAGACATCCCATCTGCTTCTTTCAAGTACTGTCTATATCTGCTAAAGAATCACTCTTTCAGAACTTTCCTTCTTCCCCCATCCTTGGCCTCCCTGAGGAATATTTTTGCCCTTTCCTTGGAATCAGGACATGACACCTGACACCATTCTCCTAAAATTGTATTAACTTCATTGATTCGCACAGCTTTGAGTGCCACCATTGTCTCAGTGATTCTTACATCCAGCTGTGCATTCACTCAAACCATTTCATTCAGCTCCAATTCGACCTGCAGTTACTGTCAACACCAGAGATTTAAATCTGGTTAAACTGAAGCTTGTTTCCTCTCAAGCTCTATTTCCTCTAATTACCTCCAGCTTCCTACAGTTCAAGTCCACAAACTAACACAGGGTTCTCACAACGCCTTATCCACCAGAGTGGCAACAAACAGTTGTCATTTCTTTGTGTAAAATGTCAAGAATGTTCATTATCCAGTCCTGATGTTTCTCTGACCCAACCCCTTGCTACGTCTTCATTAGCAAATACTTCTGCTCACACTGTCAGCTCCCTGTACTTCACTTCACATATTTTATCTGCTAAAAAATCCTTCATGCATTACTTTGGAGGCTCTGGATCTTCCAGTATTTCTACAGCCAGCAAGCCTATGACTTCAAGACTGTACAGTTGCAGAACCTGAACTTCATTACTGGAAAGGAGGAGGAGGATAATCTTCAGGAAATAATGTAACCACTTCTTAGAAAGATCTCACAAGAGAAGCATTCCTCTGTGTCTCACATATTTGCACTCAAGGGCAGCGAAAACACACTGAAGGTCAGGCTAAAGCTGAATGCTATCACCTCAACACCACCAAAAAATTACTTACATGAAGGCATTATTAAGGTAATTCTAGCTTCTAATCTTACAAATTTAAAAGAAAACACCTGTAGCTTAGAGTTTATTATAATGCAGACCGCATAAAACTGAACTCCACAGCAGGCAGGGGAGGGAGAAGCAGTCAGTCTTGTGAAGTGAAATCCTGTTTGTGCGTGAAAGCCAGGAACTTGATGTTCTCACTACAGACTAAGAGTAATAAAAACAGCTTTCTGAGCCATTAATTTCTACACAGCTGATTTCTACTAAACAATGCTCATTATTGAAAGACTTCTAAAAAAACTGCCAAGCTGTTCCAGTGAGAAGGCTGGCACTCTGAACATCTAGACTGAGCTAACAGTGACATCAGTTCTACCACTGCTTTAATCCCCACGGCTACTAAATGTCAAACATTTTCACTGCATTTAAAGAGCTCACAATTACGCACCATGAGATTAAGTTACAAAATAAAGCAAACTGCAAGGCATAGCAAGCATCTGCACTCTTGCTGCCCAAGATTCTCATAATGGCAAGTGAAACTGCCAAGCATTTTCCACAGCCAAAATGTGGTGTTTTTAGCATTTGTTATTCTTAAACGCTGTGAAAACTCCCCCTTTCAGACCTCCCATAACAGTGTCTACAATACATGCATTGCTGCCCCGCTCAAATATAAATTTATAAATCAGTTGTAGCATTGAATAAAGTATAGTGGGCAGGGGGGAGAATGGTGAAAAGATTAAGTGTCATTGCATCAAGAGACACAAAGTCCAGTGGAAACTGAGCTGCAGGCCATATATTTATTATTGACAAAAGACATCCATGTAATATTAATTCCATCTGCTTTAAAAAAGGAAATGCATCAAATTATAGTCAACACAGGAGAAGGAACTGTCCGACCACGTAATATAAATTTTAATGTGGTAAACTATTTAAAGTAGGATATATTTTCTAAACATTACTTAATATTTTCATAATTTGTTTGGCAATTGATTAATATGGCCAACACACACTTCTAAAATAAATATCTAGTAATCACTTTATCGTGCCAAGTTCTAAGTGGTTCATATCAACTACACTGAGCTAGGGCAGTGCTATAAAGAAAGTGCAAGAAAGCTCATGGATTCTCACACTGCATAAGAAACACATCACTGAACAAAATAAATTCAGTAATCCTATTCATTCCATAATATTTGTGGGAGGGGCAATGAAGTTAAAACTAGCATAAAATATACACATATTAGAGACATGATGTCCCATAACTATAGAAACTCTGAATATCAAGAATGAGGCCAAGAATCTAGTAGGATATTGATAAAACTATAGATACTGAGTATTTCAATAAATACATATACACACAGTCCAAGACTCTATAATTCACCTAATCAATCTTCTATCTTTAAGATGTACTGACTTGTTCAGTATGGGAACATCTTAAAGATAGAAGCAGCTTTGTCTTCATGGTCTCTTATTAGCAAAGTACTGATTCACAGCTCTCCATGGTAAAACTTTTCATGTTTAAAGTTAGCATCAAGTTTGATTTGAGATACTCTGGTACTCTGAACACATGCTGCCAAGTGGGATTTACTGTAACAATCAGTTTTTATCCAAGCAAAAACAGTTTCACACTACAGATTAAGTTCAAGAGTAGGGAGCTTTGAACAGAATTTAAAATAATTGAACATGTCCCTACAGAACGACGTGGAAGGCAAGTGTGAGGTGGAGGAATTATCTACATACACATATATATAAATATATAACTATGTGTATGCACACATACATCACTGGTTTAAGAGCAAACCTGGATTACAAAAGACTAATTAACTTGGTTACCCGTACCAGAAATGACCCAATTAAGTCAGAGTTCTAATCTTTTGATGGGGGAGGGGGATGTCTGTTAAAAAAAAAATTGAGAGAAACTGCTTTACCAAGGACAAAGGCCGTCAATGCTCAGTTTTAGCCTGAAGTAGGAGTACATCATTCCTGAGATTCTTCCATACTAATTAACAAACTCACATGTTTTGAGTTTTAATCCAGAGTAAAGTTGTGAGAAGCAGAATTGGCAGGGCTGACTCATTAAAACAGTCTACAAATAATATGATCGAGCCAGAAATTCAAATCCATGTAAGTCTTAAGTGTAATTAAACCCACTAAGAAATTAATTTACAGTTCTTATGTTATCTATACACACTTAGGGAAAACTGACAGTAACTTGCACTATCATTTCAACAGGCCAAGTCATGAGAAGTTAAAGCAGTAGGCTCCCTTCCTCTGAAAGAAAATATAATCCAAATTCTGTGTCATATTAAAACAATCTTAATATGGAAACACTATTGTTCTTTCTTTAACTTTCACAGAATAATGTAAATTGAATCAATTCCTATAGCACAGAAATTCTGCAAGAAATAAACAAAAAAATGTTTCCATTTTAGTAACAATTTCATGCTGAGAGAAGACATTTTTATTTGAACAATTGGAAATTTTTGGGAATAAGTCTCAAAACAGTAGCAGACAATTTTGGTGATAACAAAAGAAAACAAACCAGATGTGGGGGCCTTTTTTTTTTTAGCTTACCTGCACTTGTTCTGTGGAACTACTACTGAGTTCATCTCCAGACTCCGAATCTTGGTGAATTTTTTCTGAGCCTTCTCCTGCTGAATCACAAGATTGTTCATGCAAAAAGCTGGTCTTCTCTATTTCCAAGAACTCCGGGCATGGGAAATGACCCATGGAAATGGTTCTAAACTGATTGGAAACCTTGGGAGATTGCAACTCATTGTTAAGTTTTCCATTGTTCTGGGTAAGGTCCAGACTCAAACCAAAAGTTTGACAGGGGCTATTGTTCGGTCCCAGATTTTGATTGGCATCTCGAACTAAGCAAGACACTTGAACTGGAGAAGATTTTCCAAAACTAGAAAGCTCTGGTGACTTATTCACATTTTCTGTTGATCTCTGTAATCCATGTGTCAACTTCAAGGTGTTATTTGGCAACATGCTTGCCTGCTTCACAGGTGGCATCAGTGCTTTCCGGGGTATTTCCTTCACATATTGAGCTGGCACATAAAAGGGTTTGGAATTTTCATCTCTTTTGACTTGCCACCAATCATCATTAGTCTTTTTCACTAAGATGTACTTCTCTCCTTGCTTGATCACAATTTTCTTGTCCTTGGCCTCATACTCATAGTCATACTCCACTTGAATGTAAAATTGTCCTGGAAGCATCTTCCCGCCCTTATCAGCCATTTCTATTTGAAAAGATTTCACCTTTTCAGACAAAAGGTAAGCGACATTCTGTTTCAGTGTTATTTTCCTGTTAATGTTCAGAGCTGTAAGGGGAAAAAAAAGTATATGTAATCAAGTGGCTGTTAAAGAGCACTTTGGATAAAAATAATCTTTAAAAAATCCTGCCTACTTAGATTAATTGATGGAAAAATGCAATATCTTCAGATATCCTTCTGCGTGTTGAAATAGAAAATCAGTAGAACAACGTGGCTCACTGATTGAACTGTCCTATTCACACAAGCTTCCTGCTATCAAGTGGCTCATTAGTTTCATTAATTAATTAGTTATTATTTCTATTACTGATTAACATTAACTCAGATCAGCCCCCAACGATTGATCAATCTCTTGCTTGCATATAGGCTTAATTTCTTAAACTATTAATATACTAGTTTTAATAAAAATATTTCAGAGAAGGCTTATTTACCTCACAGAAAACCTGATCTAACCAAATGTTTAAGGGCTAGATCTTAAAATGCAAACAAAAACCTCCACAGTGACAAAACAGGATTATGAATCAAAATGGGTAATGAAATAATTAATAATACACAAAAATTCTGAAAAGTACTCTTCAGCATATTTATAATTCAGACAACTGCCACTGCATCCACACCCACAAAAAATTCTCTCCATTTAATCATGCAGCATCAATGTCCAAATTCATGGATGGCTAAGTATTAGTCTTGCCAACTTGCTCTGAACACAATACAGTAAATTAATATGAAAGGTAGGGTTTTTAACTTTGAAAATCAAAGCATGTAAGATCTCCATCATTCACAGAGAAAACAGGAGAATTTAAGTAAAATGCTGCCATATTTAGTCTCATGAAGATTAACAAACACATCTTTTCTTTTTTAAATGCACGTTTCACGAATGAGAAAAGTTACGTAGAAACTTTCAGCTCTGCAAGTTAAGACTTTGAGAAGAGATTTGCAGTCTTCATCCTGCCACAGAGCGGAACTAATGCAATTCCATGCAGGCACACACAAGCAGAGTGAAATCAGCTGCTAAATGGGACTAAGGACAGAAATAACAACAGAAAAGGACTTCTGGGGAGATCTAAAGCAGAAACTACTAAGGATCGTTCAATTTTCTTTTGCCTGTTATTTGATCTGAGCCTTGAAAAAATACATTTGCCTCATAACTCAAAGTAGAAGGTAAAAAGCTAAAGTATTACACCAAGACAGAAGTGCCCATCCTTAATCTGTGACAGTCTCTCACAGACCATCTTCTTTTACTTCCAAGAAGCATTTCATACAGGTAACTAGGAAGCCACCACCATTTTCCAGGCTCCAAACAGAATCACTAAGTCAGATTTATAATTTTATCAAAGACTTAACAGAAGGAATGATGGTACCACATTCAACAAAGCTGACCATAGGAACACAAAGCAGTAGAAAATAATGCCAGGATTCTGGTGTTTACTCTCTACCATAAAATGGTACGTTGACATTCAAAGTCTATTTACAGACTCAGTACAAAACAACTTGCTTACCTGGTATTCTACTTAAATAGGTGGTTTTAAGTGCAGCTCTGCAGTTGTTTAGCAACAGTAGCAGAAGGCAAACATGAATAAATTGCAGTCATTCCCACTCTCTTCCCAGTTTTGGAAGCTCTGCCATGAAAATGATATTTTTTTCTTCTTAGCAAACCTGACCCCTTCCAACACTTCCTCAAAGCTGCTACCAACCCCTTTCATGGCTTCCAGGTCAGACATCAGAAAAATGCAAGTCTTACCAAGTTGCAGTCTACTTCAAAGCTCTGTTACCTGAAAAAGCTGAACCATAGGATAAGGATCCATTCAAAATCTCTTTCTCCCACACAGAGAGGGAGAGGACATAAGCCTCTAGCTTCCCACAGGACTAACGAGTGTTTAAAAGCTTGGATTTTTCACTCCCTTTTTGCTGGTTCCATATGACTATTTATTGAGAATGCACGCTTAACATTTTCTCAAGACAGAAAGGTCCAATAGGTTGCACATTATGTTTAAAAAAAAACTAAATTTTGAATAATACAAGTTAAATACAACAACCACTACAAAAATAGCTCTACCCACTTTTGACGTCAGTTTTGTTGCCTAATCCCCTTCCAAAAAAATAACAACAAAGAAGAAATAACAAAAATAAGCAGCACAGGTTTTGGTCCTTCATCCAAGCTGCAAAATTATCAAGTCAATAGCAAACATTTGGTAATGTTGAACATATGATTAAAGAGAGACAGGCTGTGTTCAGCCAGAATACTAAAACAGTTTTACAAACACATCACATCAACAGGATCGAGCAAGGCTCTAATTCTCCTCCTCAATACAAAAAAGCAAGAAATATGTATGGTATAGGTGGGAAATTAACCCTGTAGATCAGCAAACAACTATCATGGCCTTGATTTCACAGATTCAAATGCATTAATTTTTGTTTTGCTTTAATTTTTTTAATGCAGCTCTTGTGTAACAAAAGATACACTGCCCATACTCTCTGTGCAGCCCAGGGGACAGCTAATTGTAATGCCCTTTCATGAAGCTGTCTCATAGAACACAGTTTAAAGAGCCACAGGAGCCTTGGTCAAACCCCTGCTGTAAGGAGCTCACAACAATGCAGGTGTGAATGGACAATATCGACACTTGGACTACTGACTTCACTGTGCTACTAGTCAACAGCTGAAGTGACACGGCTGGTCAGCCCTTGTAACCTCACAGTATTTTTTATTCCTTACCATTTACCTGTCATGCTCGATGGCATCCACATTGCTAAAGAACATTGAGTTTCTCTAATTAGAGAATGATAAGTATGAAACATCATTTACTTCCACAGAGAACATCTGTAAGCTTTCATACGTTAAATAAAGTCTCAGTATCTGATTGAGAGATTAATAACAAATGGTCTCACTAAGAAAACCTATGTTCATGAACACCAAAAAAGAGACTCAGACCTCGCTTTTCTCCTGGAAAAGAAAACCCCAATCGCTACTGGCAAATTATCTAAGGTGGGTCCATCCCCACGTGGAAACACAAAGCACCATTTCACGGAGCATTCCCGCTGTCCCACGGGAGCGGAGCCTGGCGATGGCAGGCACGGCACCGGGTGCGGCAGAGAGAGGCGGGCAGGGCTTTCACTCGGCACCGGGGCAGAGAGATCCCTTCGGACTCCGGCTGCCGATGGAACCGTTCCCATCTCTTACTCAGCTAAGGCTGAGTAAGGCTGGCAACCCTGGGTGTTCGCAGAGGTCAGCTCCTCCCTTCCTCCATCCCTCCGCCCGGGCCGGCCCTGCAGCTCCCGGCACCGAGCCGGTCCTGCCCCACCGGAGCCTCCCGGCACCGAGCCGGAGCCTCCCGGCACCGGGCCGCTCCCGCCCCACCGGAGCCTCCCGGCACCGAGCCGCTCCCGCCCCACCGGGGCCTCCCGGCACCGAGCCGGACCCGCCCCACCGGAGCCTCCCGGCACCGAGCCGTCCCTGCCCCACCGGAGCCTCCCGGCACCGAGCCGGAGCCTCCCGGCACCGAGCCGGAGCCGCCCCACCGGAGCCTCCCGGCACCGAGCCGCTCCCGCCCCACCGGGGCCTCCCGGCACCGAGCCGCTCCTGCCCCACCGGAGCCTCCCGGCACCGAGCCGCTCCCGCCCCACCGGGGCCTCCCGGCACCGAGCCGGACCCGCCCCACCGGAGCCTCCCGGCACCGAGCCGCTCCTGCCCCACCGGAGCCTCCCGGCACCGAGCCGCTCCCGCCCCACCGGAGCCTCCCGGCACCGAGCCGGACCCGCCCCACCGGAGCCTCCCGGCACCGAGCCGCTCCTGCCCCACCGGAGCCTCCCGGCACCGAGCCGCTCCTGCCCCACCGGAGCCTCCCGGCACCGAGCCGGACCCGCCCCACCGGAGCCTCCCGGCACCGAGCCGCTCCGCACTCGGGGCCCCGGGGAACTCTCCCCACAAGCGGGTGCACACGCACCAGGGGTTCGGCATGCCAACACTCGCCTCTAGCTAGATTTTTATATGCGTCCCCACAAAACGAGACCGTTTTTGTGCAGACCCGATGTGACAGCTCCCATCACCTCAGACAGACAGGGTTCGGAGAGCTGTAGGTCCGCTCAGAGCTCAGCCTCTCCTGGAGCAACCTAAACCCTGCAGCTGCACCCTCACCTCCTCAGAGCACCCAGTCTCAACTACAGAATGATGCTCCCCGGGTTGATCCTGAAGTCCATATAAATGCTTGAAAGAAGCACGGTTCTAAGACACAGAATCATAATTATGACCATGTATGATCCATATATAAAAGCTCATGTATCATATGAGAGATGATCACCCCTACCTTCAGCATTATCCTAGAATTCAAATCTCATCCCCACCCTCTCTTTTGAAATTATCAAGGACAGAGTACTTACTTCTTATCTTCCAGAACCAGGTAACTGAGTCTTGGGAAATAACCTAAAATACTTTTTGCTATTTCTTTAATTTTCCTCTAGGGAGGAAAAAAAACCTTACTGGGGACAGGGAATTGTTACTTATTTTCCAATACAAGCAGTTGATAAATTGTAAAAAATGCTACTGAGTACAAACAGATCGCCTCAAATTTATTTGAGTGACCTTGTTCGTTCGCAGTGTCCTACAAAGTAGCAGCAGTTGACTTGTGTAATCTTTTTCCATTTTCAGCATCAAACTTCACCCACTACTGAAATGGACCCTTCCGCAGTGCTGATACAGAAATAAACTCAATTATGAAGGCTAAATTAAGACAAATTCTTAACAGTTCAGGCCAGATGAATACTCTGGCTACACCTCAATAGATTCCATGATTCTGCTTCTCCCTGGGCAGTTTTCTTAGGGGTTCAAGCTGTATCTGCATGACCACTGCCTGGGAGACTGACCCTTGTCAGACTTCAGCCCCACTCATACCTTTCTTCCCAAGGGACACCACTGGACATCCAGCACACCTGACTCCTCAGCCAGTATCTTCCTGCAGACCAGTCCTCACCAACAGCCTGCAAGAGCCACCCTCTGCAAAGCATGCATTGAGAGCATGCAGAAGTTGCATACAAATAGAGGCAAATGGAAACGAGAGATACAAACAAAAAACAGACAACTTACAAGCTGTATGAAAACAAGCTTAGCCCTTCGCTCTTTCCTCAAACACAGTTAGAAATGGAGCACTACTTGCAAGCAAACTACCTACCCGGAGCTCACACGTCTTTAAACGCTAGAGGCATAATAAGCAACCATTTAATAACTGCCCGTGACTCAGAGCACTGAATAAGCGATGCATTTTAAACAAGTGTCAGGACAACTTTTCAGCGCCGCTGCAGCCCGCGCCCCCCTCCCCCCGCTCCCTCCCCGCCAGTCCCGCTCGCTCCCGGTGCGGGCTTTTGTTAAGTTGTTGACGGCGAGGACTGGTTATAAATAGCGGGCACGGCCGCCCGGACCAGCCCGGCCCAGCCGCCCCAAGTTACCGCGCTCAAGTTCACACAAGGGCGGCGGATCCCCCCGGCCCGGCGGGGGCGCCCGGGAAGGGCGGCGGGGCCGCCGCTGCCTCCCTTTGTCTCCCGCAGGTGAGCGGGCGCCGCTCGCACACGGCAGCGCGGCCGGCCCGGCCCCGCCGCCCGACAGCGCGGCCCGCGGCGGCGCCCAGGTGCGGAGCTGCCTCCGGCGCCACCGGCTCGGCGCTCCCGGCGCCGCCCGCGGAGCGGAGTCGCCGCCGCCGCCGGGGGCAGCGCGGGGCGGCGCCGCCCGGAGCCCCGGCGGGCGCGGGGGGCGCTCCGCGCGGCGCCCCAGGAGGGGAGGGCGGCGCCGGGGGCTGCGGCCCCGTGAGGCGGCCCGGGCGCGGACGTGCCCCCGCGGGGCCACCCTGCCCTGCCCTGCCCTGCCCGACCGTCCCGGCAGCGGCGGCGGCAGCGCCGCGCTCGTCCCCGCCGCCGTCCCCGCCCTCCCCGGCGGGCCGAGGGGCGCGGCGCAGCCACCCACCTGCCGGCCGGGCCCCGCTCCGGCTGCGGCGGCTCCGGCTGCGCTCCCGCCGCGGCCCCGGCGAGTGTCGGCTCCGGGGCACGGCGGCGTCACCGCGGGTCACGTGCCGGGGCGGGCCCGGGCGGGGCGGGGCGGGGGCGGGGCCCGGGACCGCCCGGCCCCCGGCGCGCAGCCCGTGATGCCGCGGCGGGTCCCGCCGTCCTGCGCCCGCCCCGCCGCGGGCTGCCGGAGCGCTCCGGTGCGGCTGCTGGAGCCACGCCAGCAGCTCCCAACTAAGCGGGCCGCGAAACACCCAGGCCCTTCTGTCCCTGCTGAAACGAGCAGAGGGAAAACAAAAACCACGCACCTTCCTCGCTGCAAACAGGGGTCGGTCTGACCGTTTAACATACGACACCTGAAGAAACCACATTTTTTAAATAGTTGCCCAAAGAGAAATAATAAGAAATAGTCCTTGACATTTATTTCCAGTTAACTCGCTTGGTATCTCGTACTATATTAAAGAAAGTTTTCAAACATTGTTTGAAAATATTTAGGTGGCCTTCATAGCGTTTTCAAATTGTAAGTAATCTTATCTTTCTCTTTGAAAAAGCAGTATCTAGTTCTCTTGGTTGCAAAGATAACCTTGAAAGCATGAACTGACTGTAACTGATACTGTGGTATCTGAATGCATCTGCAAACAGCCTGAAACAATGGCATGGAGATGTGTAAATTGTCTGCACTCTATTAATCTAATGAAGGATAATGCTGGTCTAACTTCTGCTTTGACTATTTTAATGCACGGAAGGAGGAAGGAGACAGTAAAACCATCAAAAGGTGGAAAGAACAGGTTTGCTGAGGGAAGGACAAGCAATGAAAAAATGCCTGAGAAGTGCCAGTAGCAGAGAAAAACAGACTTTAACTGGGGAAAAGATGAAACCAGCCTCTATAGGTTTAATTGAACATGTGCACCTATTTTCATATGGAATTGCAATCCATCTTGAACTTTCAATATTGATAGTTCCTTGAAATCTCATGTGTATAATGCAACAAACATGCAAACACTGCATATACCTTAAAGCTTCTTCTTCTAAAGCCTGAGTACTTGTGAGAATGTCCCATTGACACCAAGGATCATTTGACTTTGGGCTGCCTGTTCACAAAACATAATTATTAAAATTCTGTTGGTGTTGTAAGACTGATAGCACTGTCACACCCATTCATTCAGCAGTTATTCATAGGGTCTGGAAAAAACAGACTAGACACCAGCATTTCTCTTGCATGGGGAAAGAACATCTCGTATATAGATGTTCATTATTTATCATTAAAAGGCAAAAGAGACATGTAAAAGGACAGTAGTTGTTTATCCATGTTCACTCTTTTGTAAATTACACATACATGAAAAAGATATAGAGTAATTCTTGGATGTTTCAGTCTAGTAGGATTCTATCTGTATGCCCAGTTTTGTGGTAAAAAATAATGTACTTGGGACACTTGGGTACTTCTGAACAAGCTGACTGCATCTTACTTGCTGACATGCCTGAGGTGTATATAAAAGCATCCCAAAAATCAGTAGTGGTAACCACAGAGTAATTATCCTTCCTTACTGCCAAGGCTTTGCTAGAGTGCTGCAGGATACAGCATTGGTGATTCAGTCTGAGGCACTCTTCCCTCTGAGTCAGGGTTGAACCAATGGTCCCACATAAGATCAACAGGCATAATAGAGCTGAAGGTGCCAGAAGATATGTAATTTTGAGTCCCTGCCCAAGTGCAGTCATGAAAGATTCCACATTACAAATAAACTGTCCAGCCCAAGTTCCAATTTTAGTAGCTGTTGCGTATTCTGCCTATGAAAGATTTCTCTGCCATTTAGAAAGTGCTAAAGTTCACCACCTTTACTCACCATGACTTGTTTTTCCTCGAGATGTAGGAATGCTGCCATACTCATACCTCAGATGGGACTACATATATATATTAGCTGGAAAGATCCAGTACATGTACTGACCTCACAAATCCCAGACTGAAAGAACTGCCAACTATAATTGCTTTATGTAGTACATGCGAGCTATGATAGAGTACAGGACTCAATTCATGTATCTATTGTGTTCTGACTGTTCTATATCATACCTTGCACACAGCAACATCAGTCTCTCTCTTTGTAAACTGATTCCCTATGAAACATCAGTGTTTGAAGTGTCTAGCTGTTCTATCACAGCAAGCCTTCAAAACCTTTGT